AATGGGATTCGGTGCTACCATCATTGGGGAGATATATCATCAGGAGGAAAAGCGCCGCAGAGAGTGCATCACAAGGAGTGAAGTTGCGTCTTCTTTTCCTCGCAGATGACGGTTCGGGTTCATTCTCTCCTGTTGCGTGGTAAGTGTGGTCCATTCGCAAACTTTACAACTAAAAAGACTTTTCACTACTCTCTATCAACGAACTACTAACACTCTGCTGTTTCCTCCTCCTTCTTCCTTCCTTGCGCTGTCTTCGTCGGTTTATTTATACACGCGAAATGCATTCTCTGGCTGGCTGGATTGTCCGCTCGGGCTGCCGTACATACATGGCGGCGCAAGATGGCGACCTCTCTAAAGCAAGGCCTTTGCTATATATATATATATAACAGCATAATATAAGGCTACGAAAACCAAACGAATTTTATTTTATAGCGATTATACACTTATATAAACATATTAATGGGTAGAATATTCAGATTCAGATTCAGATTTGACAATAAACCATGCCAAATATTACACACTGGCCCTTTAAGCTACTCTCCTGACAGTTGTTTTGAGGGTTTGGAGAAAATCATAAAACAGCAAACACAGTTTATTAATTTAATAAGGCAGTGCATCTCATGCAGAGCAAATTACCCTTACTCAATGTGTACATTTTAAAGAGGTTTGGGGCAAAAATGTGATCAAAAGTAAAGGACTCTCAAACTGGGGGGCCCAAAAGTGCAGCCAATGCTTAGGAATACTATGTCAAGTATTCAGGCGCTATTGCAACTATTGCAACTACTGTAATTAATCATCCTCTGGCCACCATGACAATTCATCCAACTGCTGTGAAGACATTTCATTAAAAACTCCAAGTGTCAATCTGCTGGTGGCACTAGAGGAAAAGTCAGAGGTTCACCAACGTCATTAGGATACAATCTCTAGGGATCATGAACGCCTGTACCAAATTTCATGACAATCTGTCAAATAGTTGTTGAGATATTTCAGTCTGGACCAAAGGAACAGACTGGCCGACCAACCAATCAACTGACCAAACCAACCACTTGACCACTAGCATGGCTTATTTAGAAGAAAGATGAATATTTGGGGACAATGAGTTTCTGAAAGGTGCATTACTTTAAGCTATAGACTTTGTGCTACAGACGGAGCGCTTCGTGATGAATCTATTAATCCAGTTAATTAAACAAGCCACTAACACAAATTTAGAAAAAGACCGAAATGAGGGGGAAAAGTGAATTTCTTTCCCTGATTGGGAGAAGGGTAGTGTGGAAACAAAAAGAAGTAAAGGGGCCCGTGGAGGTGTGTATGCTTGGCCTACATGGAAAGATACAGCGTTTTTGGACCAAAGAGTTCTGGGGACCCCCTGAGAAGAACTGCAACTCCCTTGAGAACTACATACCTTCAAGGGTTTTTGTTCTGTTTGCATTTCCACCGCCAATAGGAACGCTAAGGTGACGGAAACCAACTATCACTGCAGTTCATTGTACTTTGCTTTGACGAGTCAAAGCAGGGTCTTAATTCCCTTGTTGCGTATATATGCTTAGTAAAGCTTGGACCTCACTGTCAGTCCATTGGTCTGTGCTTTCTAGGGATGGGCAATATGGCCCTAAATGTGAGCATGGCGAGAGAGGAGAGGGAGAGACGCCGTGCTGCTGCCAGAGGAGCCGCTGAATGAGTTTCCTCTGAGCAGTATGTCACTAAAAGAGTCTGAGAAGTCCGGGGCTGTTCATAAAACATTCAGAACGCCACAGTTTATTCCACACTACTGAGGCTGCTCCTCTTTTTGGGACCACCTCAGAGTCTACTATAATTTCGCTTTCAGCTATGCTTGTTGTTGCTGTGGGTAACAATATGACCTTAATATGTCAACAACTTAAAATATCGCAAAGTATCACAATGTGAATTTTTGATGATATTAAAAATTATACTGATATTTTCATGAACGAGATGATATAGCACAACACTAGTGCGTTCTTCCATTTTTTTTCTTTCAAGCTGTTTTTCGTGTTTTGTGTTGGCGGCTGCTGGTGTTGCATTGGCTCATGTGTTTAGCCCATCAATGTACTCTAACATCACTCAAAGTTTCCTTTTATGCTGTGGGAGAAGCTAGTCTGAAACAGGAATTAATAAATAGTCCCTCAAAACAGCAATCTAAGGACCAATTTCATTCCTAGTTCCTGCAGTGTGGTCACAATAAAAAGAAGGGTTCTTAGAACGATGAAATGGTTTCTCCGGTCCATGGCCTGTTGTTTTGCATGATAAGCTTGGTGAGTTCATTAAAAGGTGACAAGTAAACTCAAGAGCAGAACACTTTGATCAACCCTCGTGCCCACTCCTCTTTGAAGATGCGTCTCTTCTTAGAAAAGTGGAACTGCTTTAACTGACCTAGCATCTTATTTCTGGCATTAGATAATCAGCAGAGATAGCACACATAGACAAACTCATTGAGCAGCAGATAGAAGACTTTGGGTCTTTCCAGAACAACACTGTTACACTTGTTTCATTTCTGTTCATCTGTTTTGCTTTTGTACTTGTCAGGGTTGTTTTACAAATGATGGTACGCTGCATGAATGAAAGTGCTTAGAGTTAGCGGGTACTATCTTATCAGTGTAACATAAACCACCCTTATCTACATCCTGTATATGTTCTGAGATAGAAACTGCTTGCGTTGTCATTACGCTGCTTTACCAACCTCATTGACAGCATGTGAAGTATCTTATAAAATGTTTTGCTTGAAGCCTCAAACGTGATCTCAACCTGTCTTTGAGTGATACTTTGTGAGAGCAGATGTCATGACAGTGTCTCTGATAGTAAAACTAAACAGGGGAGGTGGCCTTCTGACTCCTTTTATTCTTGCTGTTATTTGAGCCATCTGGTTTGTGTTAATAATTACTAATCTGTAAACAACTAATTCAGGTGTCACTGCAAGTAGTGCACCTACTGTTACCCATGGGCTGCTGTACAAGTCTCCGACAGCATAAATGTTTCTGCTATTCTACATGCACTACTGTTTAACAGAACTTAACAATTAACGGTTCGCAGACAAGAATAAAAGTCACAGCCATGCTAGCTGGCTCTGTTAGGCTGTACTTTGACACAGCTAAATGCTAATGTTATGCCTGTTTCACACTACATGACATTTTTGTCCATTCCAACAGTCACTGTGTCAGACAACGCGATAGTGAAGTCATAAAATCATGCCGTGACTTGGCCGACAGACATGACAGACTACACGATGGTCCACATCAACCATCCCCAGTCATCTTTCACGACGTGCATGATGCCATCGGTTTGTTTTTATTATTTTTTACTATTATTTCAGTCACTGTGTCTGTTCATGTCCGAGCCGAAATGTTACTGTAGTAATGTAAAAAATGCCTGCAGATGGCAGGAGCAATAAGTTCCATAATTAATTGGCCCCCAAAAAATTAAAAAAAACAAACAAACAAAAAACAACATTTTAATGGAAAATTACAACTAACCAATAAAGGAATAATAAATAGGGCTACTAAAGGGTTAGAAAAGAGTCCCAGGACAAGGTTTAATTCCCATTTCTACACAGGTTAACGTTAGGAAAAAAGCAAAAGGTTAGGAGAGGGTGAGATATCCATAGCAACTAACTATTTCAAACTCCAAACATTTTAAAGTTAGGACAAAAGATGTGAAAGGGGGGTCTGAAACATATTAATATGCAGAGAAAGCCAAAGATATTTAAGGGACAGAGAGGGATAAATGTGGCGTCAGTCATCGTCTACTAAGACACACTACACGAGATGAAACAATGGATTACCGCATACAACACTCATAGTTGTTCACGATCCAAGCCACCACTGTACGACACTGTGTCAGGCTATAATCGGGCAGATATTGTGTAGTGTGTACCCAGCATTAACATGCTAACATGCACACAATGGCAATTTCAACATGCTGATGTTAATTAGCACTAAACACAAACGTAGAGCTGAGGATTATCGGAGTTCACAGGTTCAAAGTACTGAACAAACTGACCTGATGATGGAACAAAAGAAAAAGTCACAAGATCATCATACTTCCTACATTTTATCCTGAGGGGAGCACAAATGTTGCTGTGTGTGTAGCTGTGCAAATTATAACTGTTGACTGTCAGAAACAAAGGAGAGTAGAGCAATGTTGTTACAGTGCTGCAAAAGAATATGGGGAGGAGTTCAGGATGACTGGATGCATGGTCAACAAACTCTGAATTTCAAGTAAGGGTGCAGCGAATAATCGACAGTCAAAAATCAATGAGCAAATTAGTTGCCAATGACTTTAATTATTAATCAGCTGGTGACGTCATCAGCTATAATGTGAGTCACTGCCCAATAGCGATAGTGACACCGCTTACTGCGATGGCAACACCTTCATGACCAAAAATCCCCCAAATCTTGGGAGCATGATAAAAACAAAGGTTGTGAGCTCTTACATTTGCAAAGCTGACCTTGCCTGGCATGGAAGGACATTAGTTATGCTGGAGTACCTGAAGGGGAGACACACTGGCTCTCTGGATGATAAAGACTTGTCTTGTAAGCTTGTTAGGTAGCTAGCTAATGGTAAAAGCCATAATTTGGAGGAATTAAACACCGGCTGCAACCCACATCAGTGGTCAAGTGTCCAATAGTTGTTGAGGCATTTCAGCCTGGACCAAAGTGGTGAACTGACTGACCGACCAAATGTATTTATGTATTAAATCAGGTAATTAAAAAAGCTCCTCATAAAAATAAGGGTCAAAATCTCTCTCTAGAGAGAAAGTGAATTTCTATCTATGACTGAAAGAAAGGTGGTAGGTCAACAAAAGGATGTAAAGGGGCCCCTTGAGTTGTGCATACATGGCCCATGAATCAGTTTTGCATGATAAGCTTGTTAAGTACCTTGAAACGATAACCAGTAAACTCAAGAGTGAGGGGAAAAAAAGGACTGTCATCAACCCTTGTGCCCCACTCCACTCTTTAAAGACATGTCTCTTCTTAGACATTCTCAGAGTGGAGCTGCTTTAACAGACCCAGCATCTTATTTCTGACACTAGATAATCACCAGAGATGGCAAATGTAGACGGACTCATTGAGCACATAGGAGACTTTGGGCCTTTCCAGAAGAAGATCGTTACACTTGGTTCATTTCCATTGATACTTTTTGCTTTTGTACTCGTCGGGGCAGTTTTCTTAGGGTACACTCCAGATCATTGGTGTTGGAGTCCTGGATCTGAGTTCCTCCGGGAGGAATGTGACTGGACAGAGGTCGAAGTGCGGCAAGTCACTGTTCCCCGCTCTGAACAGTCAGGATCCTTCAGCCGCTGTGAGAGGTTTGCAGTGGACTGGAGCAAAAGCCACAGCAAATGTAATGAACTTGACTGGATGCTGAGTTCTAATGTAACCCAATTGGCGCCGTGTGACAGCAGATGGGTGTTTGATAAAAGCCGCAGCACTATTGTCTCTGAGGTAGGTATATTTTCTTTTTACCTACAGTGTTAGAAATCTGAAGTATCAGGCTACACCACCATACTATAATGTCAATAGATAATTTACTAATTCTTACTAGTTATTTCTGCAAGGTTCTCTTTTTGGATTAATCTTTTTATCCTGTAAGTAATAACTGAAGAGAAAACTCAATGTGCCAAATAAATCAATGTAACATTCATGTTACAGCTAGAAACAACAAAAGCAAGCTGTGTTATGATGAGACATTTTAGAGAATTCCTCTCTCTGACAATAAATGCATTTCTTAAAGTTCTGCACTGCTGAAAAATGTAATCATTAACACTTAGTTAAAACTGTGTGGATTATTAACCCTATGGGCCCGAACGACGCATAGTGCATCCAAATTCACACCTGTTCTTCATTGATTTTCTCCGCGACCGTGTGTCATAGCGAGAAGCCACGCATATCACGTGAAACAGCGGAATTGTAGCTTTCCGACAAGAGAGGAACTTGTCGGTAATCCAATGTTTTCACAGCGAAAAAAATGATAGTTACACTAAAATGATGTATAACAGAGCTTTCATACAGCTCTGCACACACATTGCTCTTGGATGGATTACTCGCGAATGCAGGGTCGCACAGAAATGCCACGCATATCACATGAAAGTGCAGGAGCAGAGCTTTCCAGTGATACCACACACCATTGTGCTGTCATCCCATCACGCTATAAATACAGATTGACTGTCTACAAAATAAAAACCTGACGAATTTCTTTACAATCCATTATACAGATCTTGTTATCAGTCACTTCATATAGTGAGGATTATCGTATCTTACCACGTCTTAGGCTTGCGTGTGTTTCTCCCTGTCTATCCACATTTGTAGTCCAGCTTTCAAGATGCAAATATCTCCATATTGTCCAGTTGACACTCCATCAAACTTTGTATGACAAGACCAGCGCACTTCACCTTTGCGCACCCAGACAACTGTAGCCTAATTATGCATGCATGACAGGGCCGTAGTCCCTGTCATGCATGCACATGTGTCCCCCCCAGTGCCCAAAATCCCCCCCAATATATAACTGAAACTGAGAAACAACAACAAACTTTGTTTACTGCAAACAAACTGGCAAATATTATCTTGGAGGACACCATTGCACATGGTTGACTATTTTTCTATGATCTTAGATGTAAATATTGCATGTTTCTTTCAGATAAAACACATTTTTGACTTGTGAATGAGTCAATGGAATTTCTTGCAATAATGAAAAAATACTGGCAAACATGTCCGCCTGGCACAAACCACATGCTTTGGACAGCTGTGAAGTGACAGAATGTCCCAGCATCATGGTTCTTATATTGCCAGATTTCAGAGAGTCTCCCCTCTTCATATATGGCAGAATATGTCTTTTTCCAACTTGCTATGGTGAGATACATGTAAAAAAGTAAGAATTTAGTAACACGGATTTGTTTTTTTCATTGATATAAAAATTAATATAAAATACAGGCACATAGAAGAACATGGAATGATGGCAAATCTGGATAGCCCACATTGTCCTGAAAAAAACAAGATATAGCATGTGTATGTAGCCTTTATAATGACTGTGATATGAACTTAAAAGTAAAGGCAGTAAAAATACCCCAAAAAGGCCTAGGGCCCATAGGGTTAATACTGTTATTTATTGTTGTCATAATCATAATTATGCTACTATCAAACACTAGTTTTGATTTTGATGAAATTTCTCTATACATTTTTTCCTCTTAGTTCTCTTTGGTCTGTGAGAAGTCCTGGCTCGCTGATCTGAATCAGGTTTTCCTGGCATGTGGATTTTTTATTGGAGCTTTTGTCACTGGCTACTTGGCTGACAGGTTTGTTATGTGCTGTTAATTTCTTTTGTTCCCCTATTACATTCTCTGCTCACCAGCATTTGAGTTATAGTAATATTTGCTCTTTTTACAGGTTTGGTAGAAAGCCATGTTTCATTGCATCGATGGTTGGCCTTGGTATCTCAGGTATAGCGGTAATGCTGTCTCCATGGTACCCGCTGCTGCTCGTCTTTCGATTTCTACAAGGGTTTTGTGGAAAGGGAGCATGGACAGCCAGCTATGTACTCGGTATGTTGAAACACTGAACCTTGTGTAAGGGAAAATACATAAAATTATATATATATATTAGGGGTGTCAACGGTTGACCGTTGAACGATTAAAGGCAGAGAATATTTTGATAGTAGTCCTAGGGCTCAAACTTTGGCATTACATGCATCAATGTAGTAAATGTCAGGTGCATGGTGGTAGTGGTACTAGTACTATGCTGTATCAAAACAAAGCTAATAAGGTCTACTCTATGTTGTGCACTACCTGGTGCTCTGGGAGCTAGCTAACAGCGCCACTCATTCAGCATTTACCACTGGTAACACTGACCCATGGCATCGTTGCTGCAGATAAATTGTGCATACCCTCAAGTATCCCGCAAGGTTGTGTCAGTAAGTAAACAGCTTCATTTTGAACTACAAGAGCCTTTTAGCATTGTCATCTGTGTTAGCTCTGTTAGCAGTGTCAGCACAGCTAGTGGTGCCAACATAATGTTATGCTAAGGAGGTTTTGCGCCTCAAAATTAAGTCGCTTACTCACCAGGGCAACCTTGGTCGAGACCAGAGGGTGGTCACCATGTTTCCACTGCAACACCATCCCGGCACCAGAGGTCAGGACGGCATTACCGGTGATAATCGCTGAATGAGCGCTGCTGCTAGCCAGCTCCTGCCTGGTAAGAGTACAGTGCAGATCAGCGAACTAACCTGTGGCGACTGCTGTGTTAATTTGTTTTACCACAAGTTAACATGGCTAGCCGGCTTATGGTCAGCAAAACCAACGGGGAAAAAATAAAAGATATTTACAAAACAAAACATTAAAATTACAAAACCTCTTAATGGACAGCACTTTGAAATGTGAAGCTTAATGAGTCAGTGGAGTGCCAGACTAAAAGGAAAGGTCTCTTGTATTTTATGTCTACTAACACATATATTCTTTGTTACAGTGATTGAGTTCTTTGGATCAAAAAACAGAAAATTTGTATCCACCGTGAGTCGGACTTTCTACAGCACCGGCATGATCATTCTGCCTGGTCTGGCTTACTTCCTGTCCTCCTGGAGAACTCTGCAGCTGGTCATGAGTCTGCCCTGCCTCCTGTTTATCTTATACTACTGGTACACTTTCCTCATACATGCCAGTTTCCATTTATACACAGGTAGCTCTGATGTTGAAACCAACAGCTGTGTTTGTTTTTTTAAGGATTGTTCCTGAATCTCCACGTTGGCTGTTCTCACAAAAAAGAACCACAGAGGCTATGAGAGTTGCTGCGGATATTGCAAAATGCAACGAGAGATCTTTACCACATAATCTTCCAGAGGTATGACAGTAATTAAAAAGACTGTATCCTACTTACATTTTCGTTTACCTTTGCCTTTGTCGATGCAAATGCAATCTGGAGATCTGATTAACCGTTCAATACAATATTTTTCAGATAATTCTTTTGGAGGAAAAGAAAGAAGTAAATCCTGTATCTATAATGGATTTGTTTAGGACACCAAGTATAAGAAGAAACACTCTCATTTTAACATATGCCTGGTAAGTCTGTTTGATGAGTTACTTCCCACTACATGATACTATAAAATATATAATGATCCTTCCTGGAGGATTTTCAAGTAGTTTAGAAAATAAATTTGACTCTGTATTCCTCTCATGCAGGTTTACAAGTACTGTTGTGTTTCAAGGCCTAGTCTTACGGCTGGGGATCACAGGCAGCGACTTCTTCTTGGATTTCTTTATCTCTGCTGTGGTGGAGCTTCCCACCGGCCTCATCTTCTACCTGCTGGTCGACAGAGTCGGTCGACGCTCCCTCATGGCCATCACCAACTTCAGCGGTGGCATCGCCTGCCTCGTAGTCCCATTTCTCTCAACTGGTAGGTCAGCTGGCAGTGCACGTGGCATCAGGTGAAAAATTGAAAAATGGATTGTGATCATCTTTGAACAATTAAAGCTAACGTAAGTTCTTGGTTGGTGAAGTTGTGATGCGTCCACCTGGATCCCATTTCCATCCTTCACTTTGTCTCTTCTGTCTTCCCTACAGATTTTATCTGGTTGAAAAAGTCGATAGCGATCATCGGGAGGCTCGCTGTTGCCATTGGATTTGAGACCTTGAACTTTGCAAACACAGAGATGTATCCGACATCTCTCAGGTGTGAAACCAATGTGGTTTTTTTTTAATGTGCTGTGAAAAATGATTAACAATGTGCACATCAGACTACCAAGTACAGAAATGGACAAATTCACACAACAGGTTATATTCATATCTTTCTGAACGGTCAAAATGATACAACTTATACGGTCACACTTAACAGTTCACAATGTGGGTGCTCTCACTAAATGCCCCATCAACTCTGACCATTGACAAAGTCCATTGATAAAGGGGAATCAAACAAGACGACCAGGTCCTTAACAATGTTGACAAAAAAAGGCAGCATGACATTGGCAATTAAAACAAACAAAGGAAATGGAAATTCTCTTAATTGTGGCTTGATCTGCTTTTCAATTTCTCGCAGAAATTTGGGTGTGTCAGTGTGCTCATCAGCAGGTGACATCGGAGCAATTGTGGCCCCATTTCTGCTCTACAGACTGGCCAGTATCTGGCAGGAGCTGCCTCTTTTTCTTTATGGTAAATTTCTCCCTATACCTGTCACCATGTTCTTCAAATACTCTCTAAAAAGACATGTAAGGGACATCTGACTTACCAATGGAAGATATCTTGTCTCATGGTAAAAGGCGCCTCACTTTTCTTTCAGGTGCGATGTCGGTGTTGTACAGTGGACTGGTGATGAGACTGCCTGAGACGAATGGAGTCGCGCTGCCAGAGACCATAGAGGAAGTGGAGAATCTAAGAAGGTAAATGCATATTATTAAATTAAGTTATTAGACTGATGACCACCCAAAATTAGCAGGTTGCTAATGTAATAAATCAATAGTTAGAAGTTTCAAACCAACAAGTGGAACAAATATAACTCCCCATTTCCCAAAAATGTTTGAGTATAATAGAAAAGACAAAGGTAAATAAATAAATAAAGTAGGGATGCACCGAATATTTGGTAACCGAATATATTCGGCCGAATATTGCAAAAAAACACACATTCGCTATTCGGTGGAATAAGTGAAAAGCAAGGCCGAATAATGGCGGCGTGTTTTGATAACGCAATCAAACAGCGTGCGGTGACCGACGGAGTAAAATGTCAGCAGTGTGGCGATATTTTAGTCCGAGTACAGATTTCAACCAGCAGCAGAAACGAAACGGCAAATCCCGCCGGTTGTGGGTTGAACGGGGGTCACAGACACGGACAGGAATACGTATTCCTGTCAAATGCGGCGGCGCATGATAACGGTTTACCGGTGACGGAGAAGTCCGGCTCCAGGTGAATAACTTGTTGTCATGACTACCCAAAAGTACCTGAACAGCCGAGCCGTGGCGGCACACAGTATGTAGCGTATCAGAGGAGGAACGAGCCGTTCAAGCGTTTAATATTATTTGGCTTTGGCCACAAATTTTCATTTCGGTGCATCCCTAAAATAAAGCAGAAAGGGTTTATGTCACAACATAAATAAGGTGTCAAGAGGGGGGAAGATGGCAGGGAACTTGTGAAAAAAGGTGACAATATGTGAATTTGACAAGACTATGCTTGAACATCTGTATTTACATTTAGGTATGCGCAGCAGACAGACTCATGCTTTAATCCTTAATGTGTCTTTCTTGTGTATTTGTGTTTTCTAACAGGGGGAAAGACAAGTCAAAGGATGCAGACAGCTTTATTGTATGATCGAAGCTGTGAAGACCTGGAACATTACTGGTTTATTTTCTACATATGTGCTGTGTTTACAAAACGATGTCCCAGTGTAAAGTACTGTGAGATGTACTACAGTGGTTGCTATCGCAGGCTTGTGTTACATTAGATTTTCTGAGGTTCTAAATGTGTTAACTAGAGCCTTGATAAAACACAGAAGGTGTTAGAAGATCTAATGAAGGATCCATATCTTTGCAACCTCACACCTTCAAACTGCAAATTTTTCACAGTGAAATTATGCTTAAATATAAAGAGATGGAAGTCTTAGATGTGGATGTTTTATAGAACAGCAGGAGCATTGTTTTGGTCCGTTTTCTTGCATCGTACAGGGCTCCAGAGTGCAGCCATTTTGGTTGCATACCTGTCAAGTTAGTCACACAGGTGTGCATGACATGTATTACATTTATAAACGTGATACAGAACCAAAGTTCACGAGCGGAAGTTCTCAAAGATCAGGTGCTGGAACATGTCAGATAAAATCATCAACATATATATATATTTAATAAGTCATGTATATTTAGCACACCTGTGAGTGCTCATGTGATTCTGTTGAGCGAACCTGAAGAAGCCATGGGCAAAACAAGTTGTTCTCTCTTAATAGAGCACTCAGATCCTCAAACCAGCAGCTTCTGGCTATGCCTCAATCGAGGCTAAAGGACAAAGGGGATTGTGCGTTCGCTGTGGCTGCACCCAAACTTTGGGATGGTCTACCTCTCTCCATTAAGGATTCCCCATCTGTGGACACTTTTAAGGCTAGACTTAAGACCCACTTTTACTCTAAAGCTTTTGAGCGCTCCTGAACTATTACCCCCCCCCCCCCCCGCCCCTTTTTTTTTTTTTTTTAGTCTTTTGTATTTCCACTCTCCAATTTGTTCCTCTACTTTTGGACTTGTGTACATGGGACTATACATTACATTGCTACATATCTTGATCTCTGCACTTTGTTATTTTGTGATTGTACCTTTACTGTACAGCACTTTGGTCAACCTAGGTTGTTTAAATGTGCTTTATAAATAAATTTGATTTGATTTTGATTTGATAATAAAATCACAGTAATTCAGTTCAGTGAACGGTGGTTTATATTGATGATTTTATTTGTTATTATTATATTTATTTGGTATCTTATAATCTCCTAGCATAAAAGTTGATTTTCAGTTTCATAGCCTGTTGTGACTCGCTGAGTTTTGGTCAAGTGTTTATTCAGTGTTTGTCCAGTGTAATACAGAAGTGTTTAAAATGTTTCTTATTTTTAAAATTAAAATAGTTTGCCAAAGTTGCCAGTGAGCAAAATGCTCTTAGTTCCCTGAAAGAGAGCCTACCTCTTACTGAACTGTGACTCCTAAACCGGGCTATGAACCTAACTGTGACTTCTGTGCACCCTTACACAACTAGTTAAGAAATTACAAATGTATATGAGAACTGAAATAAAAGCTTAAAAAAACACTTAAAATGTATTATTGCGGCACCAAAAAGCACTGTGAAAAATTTGGGGTGCACCTAAATCATGTGCTGGTGCACCTAAATAAAAGTGCACACCAGTGCAACCAATTGTAAAAAGTTAGTCTGGAAACCCTTTTGTATTTGTTACTCAGTGGGATATCTCCAAAACTAGAGACAATTTAAATGATGAGAGTCAACATTCAAAAAGCCCTTTACAGCTTGGCTCTTGAAGAATATGTTTGGTGATATTTAATATTTTTCTGACAAATCCCATGAAAAGACCACAACCAACAATGAACCGATCCTATGAACAAGTAGCGATGTCCAGAGCCGATCCTGAGGAGCAGTATCATGAGCAAAGAGCAGTGTACAAAGCGCAGCTTAAATAAATACACTTGGGGCAGAAAGTGTCAGACCTGGTAAAGAAGTCCAAAAGTACTGAAAGAGATTTTTGTAAGTGAGTGTTATCTGACATCATTTAACTGCTACAACACACCATATACTTGTTTTCAAACTTAAATGACATGCACATATCAACCTGAAGCAACCCTACAGACACTGTTAAGGAACTTCTCTAAATGGCCATAACCCAATGGTCTCAGAGGGGATTATTTCTCCAGAAAGCATGGCCACGTCAGTCAATTCAATGCTGATTCAGATGCTGTATTATGATTGCTTAACTGTTTTCTCTTATAAAGAAATCTGGAAGATTATGTGACCTTGACAGAATTATTTGTTTCTAGTTTATAAATGCAAATAAAAAGAATTGTGCTGATAAACTACACAGTTGTACCTGTCTCTTATATAAATAATCAAAACAGAAAGTATGCTACTAAAAGGCGTCTTCTCTGCACTTTCCTACATCCAGACAACAATAGTCTTGATTGTTCAGTTTTTTAAATGTTATACTGTATATCTAATTGCGGGTTTGTTTTGTTAAGGCTTTTGTTCCATTGTAGGTTTACCCAGAAAGCTTCAGAGCAGCCAACAAAAGCTGCCCTACATACATGGCGCTGACTGAATGGGAAGACATGTAACCATAAATTGTGTTGAAAATCACTGGTATGCATGAGAAGCGGGATTCCTTCAAGCGTAAATATCCGTGTCGCTATGAAAAGGAGGATGGAAATCTCTCATGGTGGCGGTGACACTGTCGGCATCACATGATGACTTCTGCAGCATGATTAAAATAGTTATAAATACATGTTAAAAGTTGCACTAGTAAATTATCTTTAGAAATCATAACATGAATGTTTGCTCATGGAAATGATATGATGACAACTAAAATCAATTTGGCAGATTCATTTTAGTGATGAACTGTAAAGATGGGAATGATTTGTGAAGGATTGTGATTAGGAAACTGTTTGCCTCACATAACAAAGATCCACTGACCCGTCAAATGAGGGCAGAGGGGTGTGGGGGCTTGGAGAGGGCATGTGGACGTGGGGATGAAGTAGGCAATTATGTTAAGGACTCACTGCACAGTACAATGAATTTATGACTAATGGGGAATAGATTAAAGAAGGGGTGGGGTCCTTGTGGATACAATACCCAGGACAGATACAAACATTTCTGTCACAGCATATCCCTCTCCATCTTTTCCTGAAGGAACTCTACGGCAGCCAGTCAGACAGAAACTTTGAGGTTAATTGGTGAAAAATGCCGGAGGAGGAAGAACGAGAGAAATTAGCCCAAGTCATCAGACAGTGGAACAACAACAGACTGGACTTGTTCGAAATAAGTCAACCTGATGAGGTGAGTCGCCTGCAGACATCAGACAGGGCTCATAAACCATATCAACTCTCTTTAACTTTGGGTTAACCTTTATTCTCTGTTAGACTGCCAATGCCACAGTTTTAGATCTGTCTTTAGATGCCAAGTTGTATTTATAACACACACACACCCACCCATTCAAGTACATTTAACAACTGTGTTTATGTTTTGTACTGTATGCAGTAGTCTGAAGTCATAGGATGCTACTTGACAATTTCCATTTTTTAAAATGGCTAACAGAGTCATATACTTACACACACTATACTATCAATTACATAACAAAAATATTGCTGTTTCAGGCCCAATCTCACAACCCATCAGCTATCAGTTTAACCATGATTTCACCTCTGGGAGCAATGGCCAATATTTCGGGGGTTCAGGAGAAGCCAGCAAATATCCGGACCGAGATGTCCTCTTCCTCTTGGTCATTTCAACTAATTTGTGTAATATTTGCACATAAACGCAGATAAATAATTAAAAAAAGGTAATAAAAAGCTAAATCATCTTCAGCTGATAGCTGGTGGGTTCCCAGGTGGCATTACAGTCAGTGTCTTCAGCCTCTTTCTCTCTTTACCTTGTCCTATTGCCTACTGATTCTGCATTCATATGCAGATATCTATTTATAGAGATGACTTCAGGACTAAATCATAAAGTGACTATATCACTTTGCTCTGACAAATAAAAAACACTACTGTCCTGGGGCATTGCATTGCCTGCTGCAAAGTTAGTTTAAAACTAAAAGCAGTTGCTTTAGAGAGAAAACATTACATTTCCCCACAGTACATATCTTGGGTGCATTATGTGTTGGTTACTGTTAATTTAATGTCCAAATGCAGTCTCATTTAGTCGTCACGTTTTGCATTAAAAAAATAATGTCAATTGCTGTGTCTCAAATCACATACTTCCGTTGGTACACTTCCATGTAGTATACTATGTGCACTATGTACTTACTGGCGCAGTGCGCGAATTTCGACAGGGTAGTGTTGTCTCAAACCAAATACGGCCATTGTGCACTTAGCAGAAATGACGACCGCAAATTAGCTAGTTAGCAAACTAGCATTAGCATTCGCGTTATCGTTCGCGGTGCCAAATCATTACAGACTGCTAAATTATTCCAATAAACATACTGCTGGCTTATATCCAACAACAGTATAGCGGTGCTTAGTGCAAAAAACACATGACGAAGCAGCAACGTTCACGGTCACACAGTCCTCGGCCGCCATTTCCAGTTTGAAAAGTGGTCCCTCCCCTTCTGCTAGATAGCCAAGATGGGGACCATTGAGGGCGAGAAGTGTCCATATTTCCACACTCAACTTCTTGATCATTTTGAGTGCACCATCCAGGTACTCATAGTGCACTGCATTTTTCCATTCTTCTCAGTGTGAATGCACTCAAAATATTTAGTGTAGGTACAGAAGTACGTGATTTGAGACACAGCGATAGTCTTTATTAATGTAGTATTATCATTAGTTTTTTTAGTAGTCTTTGGAGAGGTCGTCTTCCCATCACGTACACATCGCAGCGCTGCTATCCTCGTTCACTCTTTGGTATTGATTATTGCAATTCTGTCCTCTTTGCTCTCCCTCTCAACTGTCTTGATAAACTCTAACTGGTCAAGAATTCAGCCGCCCGTATCATTACTAGAACCTCCTCCATAGATCATATCACTCCTGTATTCCAGCAGCTTCACTGGCTTCCTGTCAAATATCGCATCAATTTAAAGATTCTGCTTCTCACCTTTCTAATCAAGCCCCTTCCTACCCTTCTGAACTCCTCCATATCTACACACCCTCCCGTATGCTTGAGATCTTCTGCAACCCAAGTCATATCACCATCTGCCTGCTATAAATAAAATGCATTATTATCATTATCAATGGATGTATTGGAGAACTGGATATGGCGCCACCCTTCAGCCTTGCTTCCAGTTTTTCCCAGTGACCACTCCTGGCATTGCAGCAAAAAGCATTTTCACCTGGAGACCAACACTTTAAAAGTGATGTCTGTAAAATTGTTGTCAGGACGCCAAAAAAGCAAAACAAGGTCAATTTAATCTCAACTCTTTCTATCATGAATTTTTTTGATCCATTGAGGTCTTACATTTGTAAAACTTTCCTCAAGCCGAGAAAAGCCATTTAAAAATCTGTGACATCATCGCAAGTAAAGTCTCCAGGCTGAGCAGGAACTCATAGGTTGGGCCAGCAGGAGAAAGCGGACTGTATACCACATAAATAAACCTGGAAGCTATAAACTTTTTTTGGCATATGCACCAGGTGAGCAATTCTCATTGGCCTGAAAAGGCGCCATCTTGGGGTCCAGTATCCAGTTGTAATAATGCACCCACAGGAAATATCGGATATGCTCCTTATTGTCTCCGCTGGCTGGAGGGGCTTTTCAGTGTTTGATCGACAGCAGCTGTCAGGTTGCCAGGGTATGATGTTCCTGATACACCACAACCCCCAATTCTATAGGGCAACACCATCCTCACTCCCCATCTCCACCACAACCCTGACACATAAATACAGAAATAGAGAGCTGTAGCCATTAGCTGATAATGAATTGATAATGAAGGTAACGGTTAGTTGCAACCCTACAGAAATAAACTATCAGACGTGTGGACAGCTTCAAGATGTACTAATTATGAAGTGAGAGAAGTAATAGATATACTACTGCAATAGATAGCTCTGAATACTAGTTAGCTATAAGTTAACACTGTTGGTCAGCAATTTAAATCTTCCCTAAAACGCTGATGTGATTTACAGCATATCTTGTTGTGATGCCTTTTCTTTTAAGCCCCATGAATCTGATTTTCTCTCATGGTATTGACTGCATGGCTGTTTTTAAATTCAGATTCAAAGCTCAATGAATGGTTGATTGTTTGGTTTAATACAAAAAGGACAAGACAAACAAGCTATCAGATGCGTAAATTTAAACTGATTATAATTCATATTCCCTCATATCATTTAAGAGTCTGACAGGGCTAGTAGGTCGGGCACAAGGCAGGTCTTTCAGGGACATCTTGAAATCTTTTTAAATGCCTAAATCCAAAGCAGAATTTTATAAAACGAGAATATTGGCCTTTTCATTCTCAAAGTCTATTCAACAATATGGTTTCAGCACACTTTGTGAAAGTGCAACATTGGCCACACTTGAACAGCTTTCTGTTTCCTGGCAGAACTTGGAGTTTCATGGTGTGATGCGCTTCTACTTTGAGGATCATGTTGGAGGAAATGTGGCCACAAAGTGCTTGCGTGTTGGCAGCAACTCTTCGACTCACGAGGTTATCGACACTCTTTCAGAGAAGTTCAGGCCTGATATGAAGATGCTGACTACAAGTTATTCCCTGTATGAGATTCACGCCAATAAAGGTAATCACTTTAAGTTATTTTACCCATTACTTAATAGTTTTTTGTCTTCTGCTAAACCAGACAAGGATTCTGAGGATGAATTGATATGAAAAAAATTGTCAGTCGTAGCTCTTATTTGGTGTTGTAGTTGTTCAGTTGATTTGACAATATGCTCTGATCATTTCTTCCTGTTTTCCATGTGAAATAAGAACGTAAACTGGATCTGGATGAGAGGCCTTTGGTTGTACAATTAAACTGGAACACTGACAACAGAGAGGGACGTTTTGTGCTCAAGAAAGACGGGGAGAGTTTGGAGGTACCGCTCAAGCCATTAATTCAGTCTGCAGTTTCAGCCCTCTCCACATAATCTCACATCTACGTTCTTTTTTTATGTGTTGAACGATAAAGGAAAACTGTCACGAGAAGGAAAAAGGAGGCGTGATCCAAAGCTTCAAGAGGACACTGTCAAGAAAAGAAAAGAAGAAAGAGAAGAACAAAACTAAAGCGACTGACAAGGTTTCAGAGGATGAGAATGGGTAAAATATTTCATTGTTCACTATTTTTTCTTTCCAGACATGCCGGCTTCAGGCCCGCCTCACGGTCAGAATAACATCTACCCTTTTTAACAAATATCCAGGTCAACTGAAAAGCTACTGAACAACAACAACAGCATTTGTGTGTCTAACCATGAGAGGAAAAAGAACTGCACGGAGAACAAAAATCAACAAAAGCAGGCTGCCCCGGGTAAGTAACAGAAAAATAGAAACGATAATGAACAGTGCACTGCTTTCCATTCATTCAGTGCAGGCCTATTCAACTTCCAATCAGTACGGACTTCATTATATAATATAAAAAGGATGACTGATGACTTCTCAAAATGCAGGAGGAAAGACAGGAAGTCTTTTTCCAGACTTTTCAGATCAACCAGGATTACCAATTGGAATTAAATGCTGCGATAACTGTGAGTATGAAACACAAATGTTTTCTTTCACAGTGTTATTTTGATACCTGTCAGCTGTAAGCTCACTGCCTCCCCTCTCATAATGTCCTCCTGCCCCCTGCTGGTGCCTTTTACATTTCAGCTGAGGAAGCCTTCCTGTCTGCAGTCATAAATTACACCAACAGCTCCACAGTTCATTTCAAGCTCTCACCTGCATACATCCTCTATGCTGTGGGACGCTTTGCTCTGCAACGCCATTACAGGCGAGGCTCTCCACCCTCGGGGCAGACACTCAGCGTAACTTCGATCACAAACAAAATGGTGGCCATGACAGAGAAGGTCATCCAGGCAAGTGCAAGAAACCTCTTTTGTCACATTTCCACACATAAAAAAAATAATGTATAGCAAACATCCTACTGAAATGGACTTAAATATTATTATTAAATATTATCATTGCTAACACTTAAACGTCACACCTGCCAGGTGTTTTATCACTGCTGTAACGTTTGCCTTGCAGAGACAGCAGGCCATCGCCGGGGCTCTTGCCTTTTGGATGGCAAACTCCTCTGAGCTACTGAACTTCCTCAAGCATGACAAAGACCTCAGCTCGCTCACACAACAAAGTCAGCTGGATCTGTCCCACCTGGTGCACAAAGCTTACAGGTGCAGATGAGTTTCTGATCCTAACTGAAATTGCAGCACAAACTCAACAGATTGGCCAAGAAGACCTGTCTTCCACCACACATTAAATAGGTCACTTGTATTTCAACAGTGGAAGGATGTTATTCTCATAACACTGGGCTGTCTATGCAGTAGGAACATGCATATACTTTTGAAATTAGTGCTACATGACCAGAGAAAACAGAGAAACAGAGCTATGGTTTTCATTTTGCTCAAGAGGTAGAAAACCCACAAATACCAGAATGCACTGCGCCGCACCGGACCAATAAACACTCCCGATAGTGTGTGATGTAATGTGAGCTTGGAAATTTCTCAACATGAAACAATATGGCAGCTGCTTGCAATCAGCATCTGAAATTACAGTTAAACAGTAAGATTAAAATGTGTTTATAAAAACATTTTAGGCGACTAATATGCAACGCAGTGACAGAATATTGGTTCATATTTGATCAGCACTGCTTAATTTTACTGTTGTATCTCAGTCTTTTCAGCCTTCCTTTATACAACACAGGAACCAGTGTGGCACCCACTTCCTTTTCACAGATTCTCATAGTACAGCAAAACAGTGCACTTAAATATGTCCTCAAAGACATTTTACGTGAGAGATAGCCAACACAGTAACAGAATTGTGGCACCCTGCTCTCTACCTATTCAAGCCTTTGTCCCCTTAGAGGCACTGCAAATCTCTAGCCAACAAAACAAACTGCTTTAAAAAACAGATTATTTCAAACTCCAATAGCAGCCCCAAACTCCCAAATGTCAACCATATAGTAGAGTATACACAAGCACGGTTATTTCAACATGCAATTTTTCCTCCTACTTTGTCTGTGAATATTGCCTATAAAATTAAACAATAAATCATCTGACAATCTGTATTAGTGAAATATATTATATAATAAATATGGGATTGTAATTCACTTGTTTCAGATAGAGCACTCTTGGCATCGAGAGAATGCCAAGAGTGTGCAAAGCAGTAATCAGAGCAAAGGGTGGCTATTTTGAAGAAACTAGAATATAAAACATGTTTTCAGTTATT